GACAGCCTAGTAAATACTGACTCCGGCCGCGGAAGCCTAAGCTCGCGCTCCCAGAAGAGTTGTTCTGAAGAATATATTCTTTCAATGGATTATCTGGCGACTAATTAAATAAAGTTTGTACATTTGCAAGCTCCTATTCTACAGCATACCGTTCCAATCATATAGATTCATATTAGAATACATTTTGCCTAAATTATCCTTCGAAACGGGTGTATCCCATCTGCACTACCGTGTTTGCTGCAAGTAACTTAATTATCCTAGACAATATTTATCTTTTGGGGTGGCTTTTGGGGGGTTTTGACCGCTGCAAGTAACTTAATTATCCTACACAATATTTATCTTTTGAGGTGGCAACACAGACGATGACCTTCAAAGTGTTCCAAGTTCTAAACAGCATACTGTAAACAGTGGCGTCCGAGCTGTTCAGCGAAAGCGACTTGTATCATTCCATCGCTTCACTGGCGTCATGTGCGATGGCGCGGACTCCGCCGGGTGGTGGGGCTTGTGGTTGCCGTATTCACTCTGGGCATGCTCTCAGGCGGAGTCCGCGACGATCTGTGTACCCTAAACGCCCGCACACCGGCCAGAAACCCCCTCGTTAGCCATCGTGTTTACATAGTGACACGTGTTTCTCAAGGATTTTGGGGAGAGGCTCTCCCCAAAAAATCAATCTCGAGGAAAGTTGCAGAACGTAATAACTTGGAGCACATCGACTCATTTAATTCGTGCATGCCAGCAGGGCAAGTTTTAAAGATGAGATTAATATAATGCTCCCAGGTAAGAGAATAATAGACGTTTTCAGAATTGACCGCACCACGCACTATCATATCACTGCCCGTAGTTGCTGCCTACAAAGCATTGGAATGATGAGATACAGTGGGGGTAATTGAGAGTTTATGGGGGCAGCTTGTTGATATTACTCTTACATTAGAGAGCCCAGTGAAATAAATAGACCAAAAAATGGCTATCGAAGGGAAAAAAATCCCTGAATTTTGAAACTTGACATGATTGTTTGTTGTTACCTTCCGCATTTATACTAAAAATCCTGAAGTGGAAAATCCGCAGTGACCGCGAATAATCAAGACTACATACAAAAATTAAATTTGTAAAAGGTGTAAAATATTGCTGTTTCTTGCGCCAAATATGCAAATACATATTTCTGATAAATGTTAAACAAAAATAAAATTACTTCCGTGCACTGAACTCACCAAAACATCATTTTTATAAGAAAGGGAACTTGTAACCACAAGCAAGAACTTTTTAAGCCTATAACTCTAAAATGGTTAATTTTACAACTAAGCCTTAAAGGATTTTTTGTCGGACATTTATCTCCTTCGATTTGCAAAACGTTGAAAAAGCTCTTTCAAACGGCCACTTCGCCCCCGGTTCCCCCCGCAGACGTCAGGAGTTTTAGTATTTTATGTAGAAAGTATCAAGAATCATGCCGTTTCAAAATACCTGGATTTTTTTCAATCAATTTTTCTTATTTGACAGGGCGAGGATTTACACGCTTCCTTTTGACGAACAATTTTGCACGTTTTATCGAACCTTTATTTTAACAAAACGATATATTGAATTCGTCTACATTTGTATTGTATATTTTCTTAAATTCTTCATATCCTTCTAACAATAAACTTCAGCTTCGGGGTCAATGATCCTCATCACGATCAGGTTTTTGTCCAGTTTCCCTGATCCATTGAGCAAATGCTGAGATGGCCCCTTGTTTTGCTTCTGGACGTAAATGCAGCTTCACTATGGTCACGTTTTGTTGTATTCTCCTTTTGCTTGAAATGGGAGGAGTAGAGGAAAGGGCGAGTTACTATTGTCTTAGCAATGCAGAAAAAAATATGCAGCTTGTTTACCGTTGAAAATAAGTTTTCTGTAACTCGGGAATGAAATGTCAAGTTTTTCAAATGTTGCTAATCTCGCGTGTTTGAAAATTTAATTTTGACTTATGTTCTTAAAAAATGTTTACTCATCTTTCAACTATTTATAGTAGAAATGAAAACGTTAGTTAACATGTTATAGTTAAAATGATGGGAAGGGATTCTTGAACTCAAGGAAACGTGCGCAGTTGATCTCCCCCATACGTCACATACAGCGTTACCGTTTCTTGACTAAATAAATCTAAATGTAAACCTGCGCATGAGCGCCATCGCAAACATCGGCGAACGGTTCGTGGAGAGGAGAACCGGGAGTTAAGTTTTCTTAGCCAGATCCCCGCGCCTATTGAGCTATAAGTATCGGAGGACAACTGCTTCTTCCGTTATTAACGTAAAAAAAAGACTAGGATTAAAAACCTATTGTTTTCAAGTCAGTGGCACCCTGCATGCTATAGTTTCGAGGGATGATTTGCTCTCTTGATTTTTGTGTGGCGGCTCGAGATTAAAATATACAATAACTAGCTGAACCTCTGCGATTACAGCGCACAAAGTCAGGAAAACGGTCATCAAAACAGCATTATATATGTCATGTACGAAAAATACGAAAACCTAAGATATATTTGTTATGTTGTTCTGTATTTCTTTTCCAAGGCTAATGAGTTGAGAGGTTTACAGATTCTGGAACAATACAATCACCATACACACCACCACCACATAAATATGTTTCTGAAAATGTATTTAGTGTTTTATATTTACCAAGATCTGTTCAAGTAGTATGACGTTGATAATAGCAGGAAATCCTGCTGTCCACTGTAACTTAAAAACAATGCATCACTTACAATTGTAATCACTGAACATTTTTTGTGAAGACACACGTCAGACGATTGCCGAACCTTGCGTTTATGTACTCTTTGATCTTTGTTTTTTATAAGCGCTCATTGATCTTTGACCATAGAATTCGCTATAAAAACATTGAATCCCCCAGCGCCAATCTTTATTCTTCCTGTTCAGCATTCCTGTTTTACAGGCACTAATCATGCAGGCTGGTAACCTCCATCCATGAGATGTAACGAATTCAAAGAGCTAAGTAATTCAGATTTTAATAACTATGTTAATTTTATTTAAAATTTTAATTAGCGAGTTCATTAAATGTTAATGGTGGCAAAACATATGTCTTGAGTATAGTGAACGGCAGCAATTTTGTTTCGATTTACCTAATTTGATTGTTAATACAAGTTAGTTAGTGCAAGGTAACGATGAGAGATTGGAATAAAGGTTCGTAATTACAGTATTGACAAGAGATAGCCCGTAGATCTATCCAAGGCTAATTCTACCCTTTACCGATCGACCCATCTCGGTCTGATTCCTCCCTACCCAGTGTCTACAGACTCGTCTCTATTCCTCCATATACAAAGACAGCACGTACACCCATCACGATCTGATCCCTTCCTTCACAAACAGAGCCCATGGACATATTTGATTTCTCCCTATGCATGGAGGAACCATATCGAAATTCAGTAAACAATAGCTGCTTTTTAATGATAATCTAGAAATAATAATTTCTACGGCAATCAGTCAAAACATTATGTGCGTTTTTCTAAAACGGTTGTAGACCAAACATGCAAATTTATAAATATTTAAGAAGATGCGACTAGTACATAGATTCATCCCTGTCTGATTCTTCCCCACACAGAGATAGCCCATATCCCCATCTCTGATTCATATTCCCAAAGAGTAATCACTGTCTCTTTCATCTCTACACAGTCATTGCGCATAGACTCATCCCTGTTTGATTCCTGACAAAACATGGATAGCCCGTTGACCCATCTCGATTAGATTCTTTCCAAAGCCCATAGATATCTCCCACTTCTCCCTATACAGAGGTAGTCCATAGATTCATCCCTACACAGCGATAGCCCGTAGGCCCATCTCGATCTGATTCCTCCCTATACGGAGACACTCTCTAAACCAGTCTCAGCACGGGCAAGGAATGATTAGGTATGTATACACAATAATATGGAATGCCTTCAAGGACTCACGCCGTTTCTTAGTACGTCACACCCCTTACGGACTACGTAACTGTCTAATCCATATATAAAAAATACTTAGACCCGATTAACACGTTTTCTTTTGACGAATATTTTCGGAGTTAGAGGGAGTCTCTTCTGGAGTGCCAGACGTCGCACTGCGCATGCGTGAATTCCCCGCAATTCAAGAATTGTAGGTTAAATGTAACCGTAAATTCGTGTCAAGAGTGACCGTTTACAAATAAGTTAGAGCTTTGTCGACCAACTTTCGTTAGTTTTGAAGAATAATTTATGTTGGCACTTAAATAAAGCATCATTTGGTCTTGTTAACTGGTTGTATTGTGCGAAAAAAATAATTATCTTCAATATTAATATAATGGAAGCTTATTGTTATTAATTCATTGCTTCGCTTTCGTGGGAGCTGCAATCGAACAATCGATAGTAATCGACGTGTCGTCGTTTAGCGCGAGGTAATAGTAGGCGAAACGAAGAAAGACACCGCAGCCATGTATGTTGGATGATTAATCAGTGTTTTAAACGCAAATATTAGGGCGTATATAGACAACGCAATGTCGAGCGTTGTCTGACATGTTTCCCTTAAAAATGTCTGATTATAATAGACGCTCAGAATAACAACGGCAGATCCCAACCGAAGTAAGTTTTGAGAAAAACTCCTTTTCCTGTTTTCGTTCACGAATTATTTTCACTCCAAACATTTTTTTTTAATGTGGCAGTTGGGGGTTTTACCATATTGCAATTCATTAGATATTTCAGCATACGACAGGTATATGGCAATAGTTTGCCGTCATATTTCTAACCGAAAATGTGAGCTCGGATGGGATCTGCAGCTGTTATCTTGAGCGCCTCAATGTACGTGACGTATTGGCGTTTTTAAATTGAGGACTACGGCGGATTTCCTGTTAAGTATACTAGAAGATTCATGCTCAGATCTTGGTAAATATAAAACCTTTCAATTGCACTTTCCGAAACATGTTTAACGCTGGGTTCACAGTGAGTAGCAATTGTAAACCGCGCATCTTTCATTGGCCTTGGAGTACTTTTGGGCAGGGGGGGGGGTATTGCAACTCACCTCCTGGTTGCGCCAGAAGCCGCGGTACACCTTCCCGAAGCCGCCGACGCCGATGACCTCCTCGAGGTCGAGCTCCGCGAAGTCGATCTCCACGGGCTGCACGCGCTCGATCACGTCCGACACGCGCGCGATGCTGTCCAGCTCCTCCTCCGCCACGAAGTTGGCCGGGAAGATGCCCACCTGCCGCACGCGCGCGCCGTCAGCCCCGCACGCCCCCGCACAGGCCGCGCGCGGGACAGCACACGAGGAAGAAGATACAGAAGGAGGTGGAGGAAAATGAAGGGTAGGGAGACGAAGAAGAGAAACAGCGGAGAAGAAATAGAAAGAAGATGAGTACGATGGGAAGCAAAGTGTGTGTCTGTATGTGTGTGTGAGTGAGAGAGAGAGTGAGTGAGTGAGTGAGAGAGTGAGTGAGTGAGTGAGTGAGTGAGAGAGTGAGTGAGAGAGAGTGAGAGAGAGTGAGAGAGAGAGAATGAGAGAGAGAGTGAGAGAGAGTGAGAGAATGAGAGAGAGAATGAGAGAGAGTGAGTGAGAGAGTGAGAGAGAGTGAGTGAGAGAGTGAGTGAGAGAGTGAGTGAGTGAGTGAGTGAGTGAGAGTGAGTGAGAGAGTGAGTGAGACAGAGCGAAAACAGCAGAATTTCAGCTCAATGAAAACAAAATAATAAAGAGCAATTCCCAAATTCTTCTGTTAAAGTGAGCATTCAAATGATTTTAACAACCCCTTCAATTTTCATTCTTTTCAAATACCTTGCATCCACAGCAGTGAAGTGACACTCGAAGTCAGGCAGTTGAAAAACTAGGAACACTCCGAAGAGAAAAAACTTGGGCACTCTGACCATCGTCGCATTTAAATGAGAGAACTAGCCGGTGCTTTGCATAACTTCCCCTTCACTCTTAACGCCATCTAACAACTCGAAATTTCCCGTTTTTTAAAATGTGGGCGATCATTTAATGTACAATCTCAAATTCCCTGACACATCCACTATGTATTCCGAATATATTCAAAATTTTTAATTTTTTTCTATTTTAATTTAACTTATTTAAGTTCCCCCTTTATATTTCAAGGTAGGTATGCGAACAGTACACTAGATCACATGAGTCAGAACTTTCTCTCACATAGCACTTTTCTAATTATATTGGAAATGAACCGGAAATAGAATTACAACTGGTTTACAGAGAAAATGAAATGGAAATCTCACATTCCTTCACGTAACGAAATTCCCAAACAATTCCAAAAGTGGTCATATTAATTTGAACTCTATTGCTTTTCCACTATTTTCCGACTGCTAAACACCCTGTTAAAATTCGAAGTTGAATACTAAATTCCATATTTGTTTTTCGTGGAGCCAGAGAAGATCCACCAGCCGCAGCGTTGGATTTCGAGTAACAGTGTTTTTGGGGCTATTCTTACTGTCGTTCAAACACCAGGGTCTCGGAAGCATTTAAAGAATCGCGGGGTTCTGTCACAACTTTCACAGTAGGTTCGTGACAGAAGTCCCATAGATGAAAATGGAAAAATAATAGTTTTGCAAAAAACTAATTAACAAATTGATTTACGCCATCATTTGCGTCGTAATAATTAAAAAACTACTAATGAGATCCAATAACAAGTAAGACGATTCCTTCCCTATCTGCAAAATTCAAAGACTGGCGGGTATATCAATGTTTGATCAGAGCTCTCGAATCATCTGTATTTATTTATTTTATTTTTAATTTTTATTTTTTTGCCAATTTTATTTTAAGGTGACCTGACTTAGAAAATCTCGCTATCAATTGAATTTACTACAAATGTCACTGTAATTATAATAAAATAAAAGAATGATTAGAATTCTCAAGTTTTACTCGTCTTTACTCTCACAGTCGAAGCCTTCCGACGAAGCCGTTCTCTTGAGGTTCAAGCCCTACTAATTTCTCAAGTATCGTACATTCATTCTCTCTGGCAAAAATTACGCTCACCGGTATTTTATCTAGCGTGGACAGCGGAATGCAGATTGGGAACCGCTCTCTTAAAACAAAAAGAACAAGATGCCCCGCATTTGCAACACCGCGTGCATGAGACAGTGTGAGGTGGGAGACAGTGTGAGAGGAGAGAAGAAGGAATGGCAGAGAAGGCAGACAAGGCGCGCTTCGGAAGGGCACACAAGATCCACGCCATTACATTCGCCACTGCGAACCGAACGAGGCAAGTGAGGTGATAGGACTACGCGACCGAGAACGGGTTAACATTTGTAGGTCCCCAATTACTTTAAACACTTTATTTATACACACGACATATTTAACTAAGAAAGAACATATTCCACTGGGGGAATGAAATTATAATTTAAATATTACAATATCAATAAATACAACCGATTTTTCTATCTAACAATTCACGGGGTTTCCAGATGATTTGGAGAGCTTCTTCTCTAAATGTCGAGTATCAATTCCCCAAACTTCAACTAAGAAAAGGAAAATAAGGAACTGATCATTTTGATAGACACAAAATGTATTACGTAGGGCCACCAGGTCCCTTTCACAATGTTCAAGAGAGGTCTCCCGCTCTCCGAACCCTCCTCATCGCACGCATGTGGTTGGGCCTGTTTATTTTTGTTTTATTTATTAATTTATTTATTTAGAAAAAACTGGGAAAATGGGGAAGAAAATCATCAGGGCACGGTTTTTGCAGCTCCAGAATCCCTTCCCAACATTTTAACTAAAAATAGTTGAAAGATCAATAAAAGTTTAAAAAATAAAATAAACAAGAGAAATAATATTTATAAAAGCGAGAGATTGGCAACATTTGAAAAAGATAGACATTTTCGTTACTGAGTTATAGAAAACTTCTTTGCATCAATAAACGAACTGCGGATATGATTTTTCAGCATTGTTAATAAAATAGTAACTCACCCCCGACTCTACTCCTACAACTACAAAGGAGAGCTTAACTAAACGTGCGCGTAATGAAGCTACATTTATGCCCAGAAGCAAATCAGCGGTCATCTCAGCACTTGCTCAATGGATAAGGGAAACAAAAACCTGATGGAGATGGGATCATTGACCCGGAAGTAGAAGTTATGTTGTTGAATAAGACTCGAAGTGAACCGGAAAGAAATCTTCATTTTGCCTTTTAGTATGTATGCTATGTAATGTAACCAGTGCGATTTTTCATTAATATCGAATTAAAAGATTACAACAGTCAATTATTAAGAATCCACGAAAAGTCCTGTTTAATAAGGCTCATAAAATGATGAGCATACGAAAAGGCAGCAGGTTTTCGGAAAATGGATGTGTTGATACTCGAGTATATGCGTAGAGAATATGATAAAGAATCATCGAAAGCGAGGGGGAGAGACATCGAGGAAGGGTAAGAGAAAGGGGGAAGGGGAGAGAAAGGGGGAAGGGGAGAGAAAGGCAGGGGGAGAAAGAGAGTAGAAAATGCACCAGATAGCGTTGCAAACACTTAACGGTATTATTGTGGGCTTATTACAGGAACAGGATGTCTTGAAGTAGAGGGAATTACATTTCACACAGATAAGAAACATTTCATTGATAAATTCAATACACTTCACAATGTAAGATACATATTCTTATTGTGCTTGTTTATACTTGCGGTGAAAGTCCAAAAAATATTTTTAAGGCCTGTGAGTTTAGCAATCAATCACAAGCTGTAGCCTCCAGACTAAGTGCTGTCGGTTGGAACAAATGGGTCTAAATCAACAATTTAACAAAATTTCAATTACAACAGAATCGTTACAAATATATTATATGCAAATATATAATTAATAATGAATATTAGTATGGACAATAATTATATCGATTTCTACCAACCATATTTTCAATATCACAAATTGAGTTAGTAAAAGAAACTTTCTACAAAATTTTCAAATTCAATCTTGTCATCAATGTCTTGCACTAATGGCAATTAAGTTACACATCTAAAAAAAAAATAAACCAGAGAGTCATCTGCTAATTAGTAGTAATTCCACCCATAAGGGTTTCCCATTCATTAAAAACTGAAAGAGTAGTTCCTTACTGACTGTACTAGCTAGCACATAGTTCACATCACGCCCTCTTTCGCAAGAACCCAATCCTCTACATCCTGGGCTACGCTCAGCTGAGCGAAAGTGCACGAGGGTGATATGGTGCTGCCTCCTGATGACGTCGCGCGCTTCCTGCGTGTCACTGGCGTCGCCTTACACAGGCTAAACAACGACGGAAACCCGATCGGGTGAATCATTTACTGAAAAAGACGCAATCGACTCTGGGTGGAAAACACAAGTGACCCCAGTACATTTGATGTGTATTTTATTTGTTGTGACTATTCCACTCGTGAAATTAAAACCAATAGTGTTTAACTATATATACAAAATGGTACAGTCAGAGTGGTGTATCTCAAAACGTTTATCGTTTTTTCAATCCAATTTTTCTTACCGCTTATCCCTACTGACCAATCAAACTGTGACTCGTCTATCTAAAGAGGCGGTATACATCGGATCGCTTTGACGATCTCAAATAAATCGCGTATGTACTATAACATAACCTATTTGAGTTTAACATAGCTTTCATATATTTTCAATACTTTGCACATTTTGAATCTCTGTTGAACATAATTTTATTCATGGAAAAGTCCTATTAAATAGCACCGGTACTGTGGAAATTCTCAGGTAATTCTCAAAGAACTGGTATTACCTTTGAAAATTATTCGTTTTCGATACAAAGGTAACGCGACTAACTTTGGTAAGCGCATACGCCGCCACGTATCGGTGCGCGATTTTTCCTTTCCCATCCAACCCTGTCTCCCGCCCTTGCGAAGGCGAGCGATCCTCGTTGGGCAAATCGATTTAAGGAAATCTCCAACATCGCGATTCAGCTGACGAGCTGCCAGGCCCTTGGACAGGCTTATACTAGGATTCATTTAACCGTGCAATTGACGTAAATCAGCTGTTCACGGTTTCATCCAATCGGAAGCTTGAACGCCCCAATAATGACGTCGCTGTAGCGATATTTAAGCTCTCGATTGGATGAAACCGCAACAGCTGATTTACGCCAAGTGCACGACTAAATAAATCGTACTAAAGTCTTCCTTCGCACACTATTGGCTGCGCTCAGCAATAGAAAGTCAAAATATCAAGAAGAAGACTTAGAGGTGATAGGCCAAAGACACAAATAGGAATACACATTTCATGGCAAAGACATCCGTCTCTGCTCTCATTTCTCTCTTCTCTTTCCTCCTATTTATTGCAAATCTAAATACGAAAAAAAATCCATTCAAGTAAATGATATCGTACAGTATAAAACAGAAAATCTCTAGATCTATTTCTAATGTTTTTATTACATACACCCCTAAGTAACAATTTCCTAATAATTTGATTACAGAAATCGCCGAGGTCCTGCAGTTTCTCAGTACTAAATTATATCCCTGTTTTCCTTTTTTAACGTCACGGAACTGAAAATGTCCAGGAAAAATCCATGCTTGACCCTGATATTTTTTTCAAAACGAAAATTACATAGTGAAATGTGTGTGTGTGTGTGTGTGTGTGTACAGAAGACCATCAATTCTACATAATATCTACCACTGAGCCAGAAATTGCCAGTGCGCCAAACTGCCTTGCGATTTACGCCACCACAGATCCGTCTCCGCGAAATCTGCAGTCCATACTCTCAGTTGGACAAGACGAAGAATTCATTCTGGCAGCTTTTCAAGTAAACTCTAAAAAACAACTCCGTGGGAATGATTGAACCGACTGCGAATCCAAAGACTTTGATATTACCCTCGCGTCCCAGTCAATAAACCCAACGGAACTACCTTCTCATCGACGTGTGCTAAATCAACAACTCCGGAATCGCCGAATGATCTTTTGCAACGCTTCATGAGCAATTATGTTGATGAACAACGTTTCACAAACGAACACAAGATCGCACAACGAACATATGTCATCAAAAACCGTATTAGCTTCTAACAAATACGCTGCCCGTTCTGTAGTTGTGGGTGCAATACACTTCAGTGCTAATAAATTATTAATTAATAATTTAATAATTTATTTGGCAGTTAATGGATTAATAATCACGTGAGAGCGACAGCTTTTAAACTTGTGAATTTTCACGATATATTCTTTTGTTCTGAGTAGTTCTCTGGAATAACACACCACGAAGCTCCTGCGTCCACGCTCCGCACACAACTCGCAACAAAGGCGTGGGGCTTTGTAAGGGGACAGTTGCGAGACACTGTCCGCGGACTGTCGCGATACGGTTCGCGGGACCACACCTTGCAGTAAAAACACTAAAAGCTGGTAACCAAACAAGTTTGACTTTTTAGGGGAAGAGCCCTCTTTTTGATTTCGTAAGCTTTTTTTGCTCTCGCCTACATTATGATTTAATGTGAATCTTTCTCTCCATCTCGTGAATGGACATTGTGTATTTTTTAGATAGAGACTCCCTCCTTTTGCCTCTGATTTTATATTGGGTGGACTTACCATCCTACAGACCAGGATGGTTGTGTCTCTCCTCAGTAATTTTTAGAGTGGTTTTCAATGAAGAAAAAAAGCAACAAAAAATACACACAAAACACAACACAACCACGTGGCGTCTATCCGCAGACTAGAATCGGCCTGTCCTGGGACTTTGTCTCGCGACACGTCCAAACCACATCATAATGCGCCACAGTTGTGACGTGCATCCCATCTCGAATGGCAGACCTGCGACATGCAACTTTTGTATCGCGACAGTTCCAAACACGAAAAACACGTCGCGGGCGGGACATTCCTGGGACTTGTCGCGCTACATGTTCCGCGACTTTGTCGAAAGGTGTGTACTGGACTTCAGACGCCTTGGGGAGTAAGCTTGGGTGCCCCCTCCCGGTGGCGCAGGCCGCGTGGCCTTGGGGTGGAGCGCCTTATCGCTGGAACGGACGCGCGTGCCACGAGACGACGGCCACGCACACCCACAGCAGATTACACTATTATCGACACATTTAAAGCACTCGCGGTTTCCTTCAGACACACACTAGAGCTTTCTTCCCAGCGAACTAGCGTGTTTTTTTTTTAATGAAAGAGTGCCCTAGGTGTGTTATTACTCGCTCTTATTCACAGATTTTATAGGGCCCCTCACTTCCTGGAATACATTTCCATGACTTTTCCCGGTTCTCCCGTGCATTTTAAATATATGTTTTTCTCAAATATTTTTGTAATTTCACATACCGAAAGAAAATGTTGAAGCTACCCTGATATTCATTTGTCAGCTCTCCGATTTCGCAGTGAAAAACAACGAATTAACAATATTTTCTCACAAATTAACGAATAAACACCATACTAACATTTTTTAAGAAATAATGTCTAGTATTAATAACCCTGTCAACATTTTCTCTGATTTCTAACGATTATTTTACAAATTCCTCGACTCTTCCCTTTTGCAGACCGATGAAATTCCCTGTTTTCCAGAAAGTGGCCACTCTGTCTTATATATAAGAAAAACACTTCAAATTTATTGAATGAACGCTATGCTGCCTTCTGCAGTTTTTCGTCTCATTGGTTTCTGTTTTCTCCACACATTTCCACAACAGCACAACAGTTCGGCTTGTTTTCTTGATCCGCCAATTCTTCTCTTGTCCGGAAAGCATAGCATTTCAAGTCTCCAGAGCACATGCTCAACTCATTTGTTATGGTATCGGGCAATCCCTTTTCTAAATTTTCTAAATAATTCAATACGTGGTCGCATTTTTACTGTCATCAGGTACGTATCTACGTAATACATTTTACTAATGACATTTACACTTCGAAATGCATGTGCATCGCACTGCACATTTCGAGGGAATTTAACAATTTATAATTGAACAACATGTGTACGCAATATGTTGGTCAAGTGGTTCCATAATTTTGCTAGTTTATGTTATTGACTTTCTAATCACTAAGTTAGAATTATCAATCTAAAGGCGTTAACGAAAAGTAACTGTATTTGCTCTTGGATATTCAATTTGCCATGGGTAAGGATACAAATCTTTCACCTTTGAGAAGATCTCGAAAGTAATTAATATAGTAACTCACTTACAAATTTAAAAAAAATGTATTTGTAAAAAGAAATAACTATGGTAGTTCTAACACATTGTTTAAAACAGAATTATGCTAACCCAATAATAGTGAGTTCAAGTGAGGATAACCTTTTGGCGATTTATATTAGACGACATGGTGAATGCTACGCATTATGTTTTTTTGTCAATGATTTAGCGATTTATAGTACACGACCTGGTGGAGTATGCTACGTATTATGTCGTTTGCCAATGCTTTAGCGATTTATAGTAAACGACCTGGTGGTGCATACTACGTATTATGTCATTTGCCAATGCTTTAGCGATTTAAAGTAGACGACCTGGTGGTGTATGCTACGTATTATGTCGTTTGCCAATGCTTTAGCGATTTATAGTAGACGACCTGGT